TAATGTTGATGGAATGCAACATTCTTGTCCAACAAGCGTACAAACTATGTGCAAGTCTTTTATGGATTATTCGATATCCCATCTCGAAACATCCATCGACTTGGAACTGTATTTAAGATCACGGCTTTCAAGGTATGTTCCATGATCACCATCTCTATGCGCAACCATACCTTATAACCATAAGTGATCTAGAGATTTTATCTTAAGTGCAAATATAAGATAAATGCTTACTCTTAAGATAAAGTAATGTCTTATTTACAATATAATTCCAATAGATCGTATTTACAAGTAGAATACGTCCAATCAGATTGGAACACCGGGTACCCTACTCTAACACGTTTGCAGTACCATTGGAGCAATTTCTACCTCATAATTTGGGTTTTGGAGTACGGTTGGAGTTGGTCTAAGTTTTTGTGCAATAATGTTAAAGCCAAGATGCAATGTAGAGCATCACTAGAGATGCTCACATTGAAAGGTAAAAAGTTGGGTGCTTTGTAATTTCCAATAAAGTTCGATTGAGAACTGCACCCAAAACCCAAGTTTGACTTGAAGATAATAATGATAAATATATATTGACAACATAAAAAAAATTTTGTGTGCACAAATAATTCAAGGATACAATCCTAAAGTTAGTGCTTTGAAACATTCTTCACAAGAACGTGCTCATCAAGTATTGGTTCAACAGGAGTGGAGTGTTAGGATACAACATGTGCATAGGGAGGTCAATTTCGTAGCCGATCATATGGCGAGTCTGGCGCTCTCTTCCCCGATTGGTTTGCAGCGGTTCTCTTCACCGCCTGTCGGGCTGGGACCCTAGCTTGACCACGACATCATGGGGGTGTCTTACCTCCGCCGGGTTCAAGCTTAATATTCCTTTTTTAGGCCGTCGACCTCCTTTATTGTACCAAAAAAAAAAAAAAAAAATATCAAATAGACTTGCTACCAAATGAGTTCATTAGTAAATTTGATTGGTAAAACATCTAAATGAAATTCAATACATTAATTTAGCATCACTCATATGATAAACAAATGAGTCATATCCCCCTAATATTTAATTTCAGTACTTGTTTAGTCTAATTGACAGCTTCATACACTTTGTAATTCTATTTGTCACAATTGTATATTTGAATTTATATATAATTAGATTCTTATGTTATGTCAAATGGCAATTAGGCATGACTATTACCATTTTATAATAAATATATATTTTTAGATTAATCATTATTTATTTCATTCTATTTTTTTTTTCTTTCATTGTATAATAACACTTCTTCTTTTATTTCATTCTTATTTTATTACATCTCTTCACTAAATTCATTATATTTTTATTTGTAAATATATTCTCCAGTATCTATATTTCACGCACTTCGATATATAATATTTGTCTTTATTAAATTAATATTTGTTTAAGATCCAACTAATGTACTTGTCTTCTTTAATTTAAGAAAAAAAACAATTATTCAAATTCTAAATATGGATTAAAAGTTCAAATGTTGTGAAGTAGAGGCATGATACGACATTAGACTACTAGACATCTAATTAAAGAAAAACAC